TGAATTTATTTAAATTTATTTTTAAATATATGGCATATAAAAGAAGTATTAGGTATAGACATAAATAAAAATATTAATTAAAAAATCAAAAACAAATTTAAAAATTTGAAAAATAATCAAGAGAAGTGCTTGTGATAGAACGACTTTGAATTTTACTTTTTATAACTTCATTTGTCAAGCTAACAACATCACAGAAAGCACAGTTCCTATTATAGGAACTTTTCTATGAACATCAAATTACAAGCAGCACTTACATCACTGGGGGAAAAGGTCGCTATTAAAGAGATGCTCTTAGAAAGTTTTGGACAACTTACTCGAGTTCATTAAATAAACTAAATATACTATGATGGCAGGTTGTTTGGGGCTTTTTTAATATTTTTTTTTTAATTCAAAAAGTTTTCTTGCAAAGCATAAACATTACGGCCATTTTTGAAAGACTACCAAGTCAGAAACACTAGAGTTGGTTAGGTGATAACATTTTTTAGAATTCCTCATTCTCTAGTTCATTTAAAATACTCACTGTACTCCTTGTTCTGTAAAAGGTGCTGGACCACAGATGCAGATAAGCACTTTGGAGTCTTTTCTGCTTCTTTTCAAAAACTCGGAGAGAAGAGACGAAGAAATCTTCCCCTGTTTACCCACCCAGTCCTTTGTTGGTTGGGAAAGAACGAACTGAACCTCAAACCTGGAAAGCAGAAGACTATTTCAGAAATATTGCCTCTGATTAGAAATCCGTCACACAAAATGCTGCTGGCTGACACACTGACATTTCCGATTATTACTTTCTTCTGCTCAGCTCCTACTGCACAGTATCAGATCTCAGAGACATTTAGTTGTTCCTACCAGTCAAGTCAATCAAGTCACCTCCAGTATTGTGTATTCAATTATTTAATCCAATCTTTCAATCTTACAAAGAAAAACCAGCTGGTGCCAATTAAGATATTAAAGCCAGATTTCATTGTTCCATTATTCTCTTCTACAAATGTTGGTGTAGCTCAATACACAAGGAGTGAAACAAGAATGCTTAGCCAAACTTGGGATAATGTCAGTACAATTTTATTAATCGGGAAATACTACATCTGGTTTCACACCACCATGAACAGAGTAGTTATTGAGTAAAAACCAAGCACTCCTATATCTGAGGCTCCTAGTGAAAGGGAGAAAGGTTTTTTACTGTAAATTTGCACAATGTCTAGACACTGAAGCTTTGAATGTGCCAGACATCACCACATTGTGAAATAATATTGATTTTTCACTTCAATATTGTGAAGAAACAATTAATTTGTTCATACAATTTCAACTAAGAATTAACTAAGCATAAACAAAATGTACTTCTATCATGTAAAATCTAGGCAATGACAATTTATCCAGTGATGACAGCAGGGGTGCTGACATTAACAGGCAACCTGATGTTCTTATGTCTCCTGACTGAACCATGGCCTGCCAAACTAAGGTTTGCTGCTACATGTACATTAGTGCATTTGAACCCATAATTACATTGTAATTGAGGAAAATAAAATGCAACAACTAGCCAGTAAGTAAAAATGAAAGTAATGGGCCTAATTTAAACTTTGAATTTCCTAGATAACCTTTTTCTCCACTAAGTGACACCAAAGAGACTTTTCAAGATCCTCTATAAATTCAGGATGTTGCTCCAAGGGTACACCATCCGTGTCTATCACTTCTGTGCTTGCCTTTGCATATCTGTATTTTCTGTTCACAGAATCACAGAATAGTTTGAGTTGGAAGGGACCATGGAGGTCATCTATAAACATCGATTAAACACTGTCATACCAAATCCCTGGCTTCCTGTAGGACCTACAGAACACAGTGACACAGCCTGCTGCTATGCATCTCTGAGCCATACAAGCACATCTCCTTCTACTCGCTAGGTGTCATTACATTCTTAGGTAAGAGTTTCCAGAACCAGGATCTGTCTTTGTGCTGTATGGTCATTCTAAGCCCCAAGACTTGTTCTCCCACACAATGGGATGGTACAAACTGTTCTCCATAAGTCTTTGTAATACCTGTTATGTTTAAGAGATAATTGCTCTAGCTGGTTTCTCCATAGTATGTCATCTTCAGTTTTGTTGAAGAATAGCAGCTTCACTGTCCTTAAAGAAGAAAAAAAATTAATTGCAGATTGTTTCTACATTTGAAACATGTTAAAGTATCAGAACTTACTGCATTACACAGAAGCCTTTTACTTTTTTTATTTGCTTTGCAACTCTGCAATCCTCAAATCTTTTTGCCACTAACCCAAGAGAATATCTTTCTTGCTGTACCTGAAAGTCTGTTAGACTTTTGACCTCTTTTCTACATGTCGTAACCCTGTCTGCAGTTGCAACCTCTAGTTCAGGAACTGCTGTCCTAAGAAAACTAAAGTCTCTTGAAGTTACTAAGACCTGACTGATAATATAATATAGCTGGTCTATTTTTATCTAGTTTCTCAATATTGTTTGAGCACTACTCCTTCAAGGAATAGCTGGTATGTGAGCTCTGTACACCTTTTTAATACTACATATACCAGCTCCTAGAGGTGAAACTGGAATTTCAAGAAGGTTTATGTCAATATTTTATTAAAGATGGAAACTAAGCACATAGAAGAAAAAGAAAATTAACTTATAACTAGAAGAGCAAACTACAGCGTTGTACCAGGTTATCGTATACCTACTTTATTTGTTGATTTATAAAATCTGTTTACCTGGAAAGCTATTGTTTACAATCGTTATGTTTGCCAGATAGATCCCATACAAAATAAATGCTCTGTGATTAAGGTCAGTGCTATTTTCAGATTTTTACGATAGAGTGGAAATAAAACACAAAAAGTCTGACTTTACAAATCAGAATTCAGGATTTGATGAAGCCACATAAACCTAACTTCTCCTTTATTACTACTGTCTAAGACCCTGGAGACAACTGACATAACAGATGATCTGCTATTAACTGCAAGCAGCTCCTGACCTGCACCCCACAGGGCTTTAAGTTACTGTTGTTTTCTTCCACTCAGGCACAGCTCTGAGCAGAGACGGCATGTTGCTGTGGTGCCAGAAGCTCAAAGCTCAGCTTGTAGGAAGCCAGAGCGCTGGGATCCCTGGGGGAGAAACGTGGGCAGAACCCCACGGGTACCTGCCAGGGCCACCACTGAGGCTGAGCTGAGCTGGTCCTTACACAGCCCCATCAACACGGCTCTCCACTACCCGCTCTCCTGTTCCATGTGGCCAGCCTTGCTTCTAAGAGAACAGCACTAGACACAGCAGCACACTGAACTGATGCTGAAACCATTAATTCCCATCACCTCCTCCCTGTACCCTGCAGAGTCATCTTTCACGCATGCGCATCACACGTGCTAGGGATGCCGTGGAGAGTTCGAGATCTCCAGCTGTTCTGAAACTGCAATTTAAAAGCCTATATTCTCCTAGTATGAAGACACCACACTGAACCACATTGCTTCTAACCTTTTCCCCTTTTGCAGTTTGGTCACACTTCAAGACACTGGGGAATGTCTTACGAGCTACGTCAAATGCCAAAGAGATGAAGCGCGTTCATTTTCTGCTGACAAAATATAAAACCAAGGTATGACAGTTGTGTATCATACACATCATCAAGAGTGTTACAAGAGAAAGAAGTTACAGATATAGTACAACTCAAAATACATTACAACATGCAAGCTTTAGGAAACTTGCCTGGTACAGGACAGAACAGCCCCAAATCAGCTATGCTACATCTTTAAGTACTAAAATATAGACAGCAAGGCAAAACTATATTTGGATACAACTATAACGGAGAATTAAGAATAGATTGCAAGCATCCTATACTTACTTGCAAGGAGCGTTAGCCTGCTACCCAGTGTTTAGTGCCTTTGTGCCTCACTTATCTTTAGGAAACATACCCATTTGATTGCAGTAATACACCACCAGTAAAAATGAGCAAAAATCTCATTTTAAAAGGAAAATACAACACAGAGGACCTATATTATTTTTAAATTAATACTTTGTCCAAATGCAATTTGGACTGTAAGAGAAGAAAAAAGACTGAAGGAAGAGCATTATGGCTTCAAGAATAAAAGGATACTGCAGACAGGAAGAGAACAAATGGTTTTCCACATTTCCCATAGGCAAGAAATAATGGACTTAAAAGACTTTGGCTAGACAGTAAGAATGGATATCAAACGATCCAGGCCCATTAGATCACAGCAAATGCTGCCTACGGAAGCTGCAGATTCTCCAATGTTCGCTGCACCCTCGGGTGACAAGTTGGTCATTATTCAGATCCTCTCTCAACTTTCTGCAATTCCTGTTCTACTGTATGCAATCCAAGTTTACAGCAATTGTAACTTTGCACAGTAAGATAATTTTATGCAATAAAATAGTATATATAAATACATATACACACAGACACTCTTGCAATATTTTCCCAAAAGAGAAAGTGAGGTTAAACAGCAAATATAGTAAGAAAATATATCCTGCTGCATCCTAAGCTAGCTGTGAGCACGGAGTTCCCATAAGAAATGGTGCTGAGGAGAGTTAAAATAAGCCACTCTGGTCATCTTCCAAAGCCAGAATAGACACGAGCACTATCGGCACAGTACTAGCCTTTCACACACATTATCTACTCTCCTCTGGTTATGGACAAAACATCAAGATTTGCATCTTTTACTACTGCTCCCCTTAGTTTTGCTTTAATATTATCACAACTACCTTTAGTTGACATATCCATTCCCCTCAAGAAGAAAAATAAATATTCCAAATTCACTTCGTAGTGTTTCCCAAGCATTTTTGTCCCATGATAGATTTCTCTTCTGGATTCATGAAGCCAGCCAGCCACATTATTCACAACTGACAATACATGACACTTGGGAAGTGCCAAATAGTACACATTCTCTCTGCTAACAAAATAGGATTATATGTAAATGCTGGACAATAAACAATACAAGAATAATGTCTGGCTTTAGATTTTTTTTTTCTAGAAACAGATTTCTGCAGTACATGTAACCCTTTTTAGCTTTACTGTAAATACTAGTGTCTAATTCATCTCTGCTATTTCAAAATGTGCTTCATAAAGACATAATGAACCAGAACTGAATGAGAAATTATTCTCCATTACAAGAGTCTGAACGAAGGGTACAGAAAAACAGCAGCAAGTCTGTTGAATTGTCCTCTGCAACAGCTTTAAAGAAAATACAGTTCAGGCATATTTTTTATTTTCATAGTCTCCCAAATTATACAATTTTGTTAACATCAACAAAAATGCACTCACTTCGGTTAAGAATTTTTATGCTCAACACTGCAGTTTAATTCACATTACATCTGTAAATGGACAATCACCTCAAGCAGAAGTACTAGTCCTCAGGTTCTGAAGGACAGAAGGGGCCAAAAATGTCCTGTCCACTTGAACAATGACAAGTAATGCTTCCTTTTGTAGACTTTGATGAGCAGAGTACAGAATGCACATGAAATTCAAACCTTCTTATGCATTTCAATATACTTCATGTTATCCTTACATAAGTCACACTTCTGTGAAAACTGGAACTCATCTGGTAAGAACATGTTGCTTAGCAGGTGAAAACAATATAAAAGTATGCTAGCTATTCCAACAGATTACAGAGAGGCCATAACTATACAGCTGTAAACCTCCTCAGCCTAAAAACCAGTATCTACACTGAAATACTTCAATATAAAAAAAAGCACTCAAATGCAAAGCTAGTTAAAAAAAAACCCTCAGATTTTCTACTTGGTGAGCTCAGCTGTATCATGACTAAAATCCAAAATGCAGATCAATCCCTTCTTCTGATGGTAGCCAATAACCAAATATGTGTAAAGTCCCTAAGACTCTGACTGTTCCCTAAAGCGTGCCAACTTTTGGCATAAACCAAAGAAAAATGCTTTTATACCTTTTTTTAAAATTGTTTTATTAACACTGAAGCTTGCCCATTATGTTTCATCCTTCCTATGGGTTATTCTAGCTTGGGGTTAAATCACAAGTGTACATACCGGAGAGAACTAACTTCAGTGAGAACAAACTCCAGCAGTTTAACCATTGGTGTGAAGCCTGTGCCTGCTGCCAACAAAAAGAGATCTTCCAAAGTCTGAACCTGTGACTTCTTGAAGTTACCTTCAGGATTGCTGACAGAAATGTAGTCTCCTTTAGAAAAAAAATAGAACAATAAATGTTAATCTGATGAAAACAAGCTAATTAGTATTCTGGTTTTTCAAAGGCCCTTTCATATTGCCTTCATCTTTGCAGTATTAGGGTTCCTTTCAGAAGGGTGCTATACATTTCACACAAGGATCATTCTTGTTAAAAGAACAGATACTCCATTAAAATGTCTTCTTTTGATGGATTTTACACTATGTAAGTACACAAGCATTTGTGAAGTCAGTGTTAAAAATCTGCCCCATATCTGGAACAGAAAAGGAAGTGCATCTTAGGGCTACAAAACAGACCTAGCTTTCTTTATTCAGAAATACAAAAAGTTGTTCTAAGAATATATACACTATCATGTGTGATACAGCTGCCACACCTGAACAGTTAAATAGGAACACGTTTGGAAGATCAGTCGGGAAAGCTTTATGTAATAGACAACTAGTTACGCAGTGAGGATAAGCCTGTGCATTTAGGGCACAGCAAATAAGGTTTAAAAAATTATAAGTATGTCCCTGATGTATAAGTAGGTAAACAATAACATCACAATACTCAGACTTTATCAGGAAAGATAAAGCAATTCACTGCAAAACCAAACACAAAAACCCCAAAATATACTTACCAATTTGTAGGTGTTCAAGTGCCTGTGTGAACGGTCCACAGGGATAAATTTTAATCATTAAATATATATGTGCACCATCATGGTGTGACAGGTCTTTGAAATCCAGTGGCAGAAAAGGCAATACAGGTGTGTAGGGTTTTACTACCTCCGTCCCTAGACAGAAGACAAAAAGGTAGCTGATAGAATATGGAAAGTACTCTATATCCAGCAAATTTACTGCAAACAAATCCAAAAATAAACAAACAGTAAGCAAATAAGATGCATATCCTATAAAAATAACACCATCACACGCTTCTAAGCAAGTATGTTACTTTCCACTGCACCCATTCTTCTAAAGTGTCCCTCCACTACCAATTAAAATCTTCAGACCACTGTACAGTACATTATTTCTGCACTACTTAGCAATTCAAATCACTGGAAGAAAAATCTAGTCATCCCCAATTAACATAAAAATCCAAACATCTGCATTTATTCTCAAGTACCACAGCTTGATTTTTTCTGAATTGAAATTGCAGATTTTTAGTACTGCATGATTATATTTGTCTCCCGCTGTAATTTCAAAAAGCTGTTGTATAATGATAGAAAGAAAGACTGCAAGAGCTGGACACTAGCAAAGAATTAGGTAGTGAGGAGGAAGAGGACAACCCGGTTTGCAGTTAAAGGACATGTAAAAATTCTGAGAAATCTCTCTACGATGCACAGTGCAATGCAAGTACAATGACCAGGATACCCATTAATATGCAAATGTTTAATAAAAAAATAAAATGGGTATTTATTTGACCGCTCATTTTATTTTTTTAAGTTTGCCTTTTACAAAATTTTGAAGAGTAGCACTTAAACAATGCTTTTCAAGATGCATCCCTCTCACAACCTCCTGTTGTCATTAATATCATGCAACTGGAGTGTAAATTAGTGTTACCATGACTGCTATAAATCCCTCAGAAGAAGAAGAAAAAAAGCAAACCTGCAACCAAAAAGAGCTGCATACTAAAAGGAACTGACAAATCGTACATAACACATATACAGTGAGCTTCTTCACCTTCGAAGATGAACAGCACTACTTTAGTAGAGAGAATATTTTAAAGGGAGAGCTGAAAGAGGAGCCAATAAGGTGAACAGTAAATGCCAGCCACCTCGATAGTTAGCTTTCCAGCAATACTAATCCCGTCAGTTCATTATTAAGCACTGAGTGTGACCCTGGAAGCACAGACTTTCTAACTACAACCAGGGAATTAGTGGCCATGCGCTTGGCATTCTCCTAAGACTACGAAAACAGATCTATCTATGTTAATATATCCATGGCTCCGTTCTCAGTTTTTCTTACCTGCAATGATTTGTTTGAGGTAAACATGTTGTCCAGTGGGAATCTGGAGATGAGTGCTCTGAGGCAACATTAAGCAGAAGAGCTTGGTGTCATGGGTAACTTCTGTCTTAGAAACCAACTTGCATTTTCTGTAGAACCGTCCTGAAAACATGGTTTTACTTGTTACTTAAGTCTCAATCTGTCTTTCTATTCTTATACATCCTTTAATATGAGCTAGAGAAAGGTATGTATTTCACTATGTACATTTATAAAAAGAATATAAACAGATGCTTCTTGTATCACTACTACTTATAATTGGTTTTCTAATTTTGGGCTAAGGACTCATTTATAGCCTTTCATCAGGCTGCTACCAGACTGAATCTGTGAGTTACCAGCATTGACTGGGAAGAAGTAGAAAACCAATAAGTACTAGCAGAAAGCAGACACTTCCGTACTGCATTGATTGATTCATGCACAAAAGTCACCATATGACTACAGCATAAATACACAGATTGTATTGGGAAAAAAAAGAAAGTATTTAAAAAAACAATCACTATACAAGGTCTGCACTTCCACAACAATTTTTCAAGAAACTGAGAAAGAAATCAGGAAAAGAACACTGCATCAGAATAACTGTAAGAAACTAACAAACTCTTTTTCATTTGTATTAGTTATGGGGATTAAAAAAAGCCAATGGTGAAGGAACACCCCAGAATATTTAGCTTTGTTCAGGAACAAAGGGGAAATAAACCACTACAGTTTCACCAGCACCTTACAGAAGCTTAAAGTAACAACCAGAGACTGCAGCATGTAAGTAAGGGTAAAGCAGCAAGGAAAAAGTACTTGAAAGTGATGCAAAACCAACCACTTACCAGCTTTCACTCTGGAAAGGAACACGCTTACAAAGGCTAATGTAGCAACAAATGCCAAATACAGGAAGGTATCCCTCAACTCTCAGCTATACTATTCTATTAACTGACACAGGCCTGTTGTCATTGCTACAATAGGTTAGTATTTGACTACTTGGGAACAAGCGTCTCAGCCTTCCTAAAATACCCACGGGAATAACGATTGCTGCGTAAGGCAAGTGACAGCGTATTGCAGAAATCTGGATACAAAACACCGGAGGTGTAGACTGAAGGTGACCAGAAATAATTTTTCCTCTTCTACCTTTAGAAGAGCATTCTTCAGCTAAGCCTTTGTTTCAGCACTGCAGTATTTTAGTTCTAACCTGAAATATCAGCGTGATGATAGTACCACACTGCCTAAAGAAGGCTGTAACTCAATGGAAGTTTCATGGGCTGTAAGATATTGGAAGCTCAGCCCGGCAAAGAATAAAAAATTTAAAAAAAAAAGGAAAGTAAGCAAGCAACAAAATCCCATGAGCAGCACCATCTAAACTTCATATTTCCAAAACAAGCCAAAAAAAAAAAAAAAAAAGGCAGAGAGAAGAAACCTCTTCCCTACAATAATCCCACCATGTCATTTACCTTTTTCAATGTAAAATACGTAACCAGTCCCAGTGAATATTTTCCCATAAAGACTCTCGAGATTTGACAGGTTCATATATGAGAATACTTGAGCATGACACCCTTCTAATGACACTTTCTGCACTGAAGCAAATGCAGTGAAGCGACATTTCTTGCCCCCTCTTTTTCTCATGTTGCTGAAAAGCACTTCAGTTCACTAGCATAAAGAGCTGAGCTACTCATGAAACAGTGTGAGATGTGAAGGGCACAAACTGCAACTTGGGAAATCCCACCTAGGCTTCAGTATGAGCATGGTCTGGTCAAGCACTGGGGCAGACGACGCAGGCAGCATCTGTCCTTGGAGATACTCAAACCTTGACTGGACAGCCTTGAGCAGGAGGCTAGACCTGATGACTTCCAGAGGTCCCTTTCCACTAAATTAGTCTATGATTCTGATATTACCTTAGGTCTTAATAGTTACAAGTAGAAGCACCTTGATCTTTTACATTTTGCCACTGTACCAGCAGATGCTTCTTTACTTTCTGACTTTAATCACACGCTGTTTCTCTTTTGAACAGGAATGGATTACCAGAAAATCTGTAATAAGTGTACATCATTTGCACATGTACTAAATCCTGAAGCTGGACAAAATTCTCTATTGAATCAACAACTATTCTTAAGCAGGTCTTGCCTGACAGAGGGCTTATGCAAGTTTACAGTGAAGTTTTAATTAAATGCAAGACAAAATGTAAAGGAAATTCCAGGCACTGCTGCAGCTCAAGCGACTACTGCCATTGTGTCCTTGCTCTTACCTCCCACAGCACCACTACAGGGAAGCCCAAGCCAGTAAGGATGGCTGAACTTTATTCTTAACTATGGCAACAGTTTGAGAACAGAGCCAACTTTTGGACTTCAAAACAAAACAAAACAAAACAAAAAAACCAAAAAAACTTGAGAGGGGTGTCAGTAAACTAGCCTGTCCCCTCTCCTTCCCTAGTGTTCTCCTAAGAGTCATTTAAGGACCGCTTAGTATTGCGGTAGTTTCATCTAACAAATTATCATTTTCCAAGTAACTTATTTGTACTGCACTTTCCTTATTGCAGCATTATTAGCCCAAACATTTTGCTATTTCCAGCTATTCTGGATTAAAAACCCAGCCAAAGAGTTCAAGCCAGCTGGAGCCCAGTTACACAGACTGCTCTGCCAGCCGGCGCAGTCAATTGCTGCCGGAGGGAACGTCCATCACTATTAACACCCCCTTCTTCAATAAGTGCAGGATCACAGCCTGTCAATTAAACCACAACAGAAAAAAATAATTTTAAACAGAGAAAAGCTTTCAAACAAACAATATCTATCCACAAAATGCTTAAAAATTAGGGGTTTAAACAAGATGTGACAGCTCAGCCGTGCTTCTTTCTAATTGGCGTTATTTCCAAGGGTATGAACAAACTTTGCTAGAAGGATCAAGTATCTAAATAAGTGTAGTTATGCCTGGAAAGATATATTCAGGTTACTAAATCTCAGCTGCACGTGCAATTCACACATGAGCTAAATTAGCATCAAATTAATTACATACCACTATTGCCACGGTAGGTGGCCATGGCATTTTTCTGCATACGCTTGTTTTCTTAAATGATTCAAATACCTACTAGTGAGTTATCCACTATAAATGCCTGCAGAGACATGATGTAAAGTCTCTGACACAGAATAAATCCTTATTCATTAATATTTTCTCACATCTTTCATCCAACATCCCACAAGCTAGTTATTTTCAATGAGCAAACATTTCTGAGGTACCAAAAGAAAGCCTGCAGCCTTGAAAAAATGAAAGGCAATAATTCCGTTTCATAAGAATCCTGAAGTAAAGCAAAACATCAGCAGCTCTCTAGTTATATAAAAGCAATTTTATGAAAAGTTTGTTGTAATTTGTTTTTCTACCCTTCTTTTGAAAAACAATATATACTAAGATTGCAAAGTACAGTATACCAATAAATACGCGAAGATTGCAGTCCATTCTTCAGACATAAGAATCACTTGAAAGGAGGTTGGTCATATATCCCACAATACTGATCAGCTAATACTCTTCCAGATATTTGGGAGTGGAGAGAGAGAAGTTAAACTGATTCATCAACTGACTCACTGTTTCCTGACAATTTTCTGACCTGACAAATTCCAACCTTTTCCAGATGTAATGAGCTAACCTTTACCTCCCTCTTTTTCTTTTTAATCTGCCATACAGAAATTTTCTCCCAATTTCAATCTGATTTTTGAAAACAGAGATCTTTATAAGTCTGAACAAACTCCTAGTTTAGGTTGTCCTCTTTGTTACATTAAATAAAATTAGTTCATTAACAGTGGTCCAAATAAAATCTGGAGCCACAAGCCAAAACAACTGGCGATGCAGAAAAGCCTTTCCAGAAGAGAACACCAGCCTCCAGTAGCAAGCTGAAGGAGAACAGTTCCTTTCAGCAACCTCTGAAGCCAAGTTAACTGTCAGAGGCCAAAGATATATGATTTGCTACTATGCATAAGCCAAAGGCACTGCTCTCTCAATTTTGGAGTATGATGTAAGCGCCCCGTAGCAATTCCTAATTTTCAAAGGAGAGAAAGCAGCTAGGGAGGAGGTTAGGTTTGATCAAACTTTCTGCAGACATTGAGTATCAGCGTCACAGCTCCTGATCTCTTCTCAGAGAAGCCGCCCCTGCAGCCCGCCCCTCTGCGAGCAAAACCTTGCCACCTAAACCCAACACAATCACAGGCTGGAGACCTCACTCTCTAAACTGAACTTCCTCCTCTGCTGGAATCAAGAACTACAGCACCTTGATATGAAATGAGTTTTACTAACAAAAGTGAGGCACAGATGATAATACCTCTTGGAGAGTATCATCCTTTTGCCTACTGTTCCTCTGTGTTATGAAAGGGATTTTAATTTAAGAATTTTTCCTTGAATTATATTTCTTGCTATTCTTCAATGATAAGACTTGAGTGATTATTCTTATTTCTTCTTACTTGCTAGCCATAATCCTAGCAATGCTATGGCACAAAAGTTAGCCTGTTTGCTTAGGACAGAGTTTCAAAGTAAAACAGCCATGTCCCTCCACTGCCCCTCCATCTCTCGCAGAGGAGTTCCACCCCAGCCCCACAAACGTGTAGCACCCAACAGCATCCGCCAGCCAGCTGAAAGTTAACCTGTCTTTTGTTCAAGTTACTTGCTTCTGGAGCCTCAAGTACTGTTGGTGTAAACATTATGGAGATTAGAGCACCCAGCTGAAGGAAGGTGGCTGCACCCTCAGC